ACGGAAACTGATCCATATTCCATTAATTTGTTTCAGCTTAACAATGATATTTCAGAATCTATTCCATTGGTTTGTTATTAATCTAGCAGAAATTCAGGGCTAATAGTAATATTACAGTTTATTCTATTGGTTTGTTGTCAATCTAGCAGAACGTCAGGATACCAGTTCTTTTTTTCCTGGTGTGTATATGAAGATTACTTAATAATAATACAGAGCATACATACAATGTGACCCAAAAATATCAAGTCTCTAATGAATCTTAAATTGAACCAAGTAGGAAAGTTGGTGGTTCCATTCTCATTTACGTTTGTAGCACGTTATTTGGAAAGGTTGCTCCGTTTCTTTTAGAAGTACAACATTCCTATTATTTTACACGATAAATATTGTGGATAAAAAAAAAGCATCTGAATATTTATAAACATTTCTCCATCTAGTTGAATATTAATATTTACTTGTTTAACTCCACACTAAACACTGATCTAACAGGTAAACCGTAAGGGCTATTCAGTTAAAAAGAAAGTCCATTCTCAACTTACTTATAATTGAGAAGTTTGAACATGTGTTGAGTCCAGATGCTAAGTGACAAAAATTAAAACAGGTAGCAATGCATGTGGAGTACTTGTATCATATTACCATCAAATTAACTAATTTATCCCCAAAAAATGGTTGTTTCTTAACTTCACGCAATGCATGTTATTGATTTCCTATGATTTGATGTGTACTGTTAGAAAAAATAAATCAGTGTTCTGTTACAAACTGTTGTATCAAGATCCTGAAAAGGGAATGTGCAGCAAACCAAGATTTAATATATTAATTTGTAAGGTTAAATAAAGTATTTGTAATTTTAAATGTAAAACTACAATCTGGCAAAACATACAGGGTGATACTAAAGTTATGCATTACTGCAATTTGTTTTTTTTTAGTCCTGTGCATACCGCTGCTCAACAGAAACATTTCACATACTTGTGTATGATTAATAACATCCCCACCAATTATTATAGCACATGAAAGAAATATTTAGTGATACACAAACATGATTTTGTGACTTGGTTATGTAACAATACTTCAAATCGTAAATTAAATACCATAGTTGACATCACTATAACAATTCTAATGAGGTATTTAATAAGCCATATATCAATAAGAATAACCTTCCCATTTAAAGTCTGATCGTTAGACGCACACAGTAGTGTATTTTAACGTGTAACATTACATTTTTTATAGTGAGTGATGTGTTAAAACAACAAATACTATTTCAGTATATAAAAAAATGCTCCTCAAAATTTATTGGACTATTGGCACAAACTGAAAATTAATTGTAAAATTTTTTAAAGTATATTTTAGATGCCAAGTTTTGTATTTTATGATAATCTTTTATTTTTGGAAATTACAAAAATAACATTGAAAGAATTATATATTTTAATAACTTGTTTTTGTAACAACTGAAAGAATTGGTTAAATATAAACAAAAAAACTATCTTTTAGTATTTAGAAAATCATTTTTTAAGAAAATCTTATGAAGAATTTCCTTGCTTTTCAGTTACAAGGCAGCAATTAAAATATCTTAACAAGTTCATACCATATATTTACAAACTTAGCTTAAAGTCTGTCTATAAATTTACTTTAAAGAAACACTCAATAAATTTGAAAATAACTTTAAAGTACAGTTTTGGTGTTATAACTTTGACAACTTAATATTAAATTACCAATTATGTGATTTCTGCTTTAGATAAAGTTCAGTATTTTCTTGAAGGTAAAATAAGTTGTCTGTCAGTTCTTGAAATATACGAACTTTTGTACGAAAAGTAACAAGACTCATTTTTAACAATTACAGGGAATAAAAAACACGATGGTGCAGGTGTTCGTTTAATAAACTTGTGCACATTTCTGGTGTATTCACAACTTAAAGATGATCTGTTTGAATGACTAGCGTTATAGATTATTAATATTTTTAAATGTACTTTCTTTAACTTACAGAATGAAAAATGAGCAGTGGAAGTAGTTTACACAAATGTCTTTCAATGGGTTGTTTCTACTAAATGTTTTTGGAATCATTTTTTATATGTGAACTTACCAAGAGGATATATATCATAAAGGCAGGTTTTGAGAACGTCTATACATCTCATGCAGAAGCATGTTTTGTGGATGTTGAAAAGTTTTAATAACAGATTGTGCTGAAAGAACTAACTGCATTATTGTACATCAGCAGACAGTGATTCTAATTTTACATGAACTGTTTTTATAACAGGTTTGAAAAATAATGCCTATGCTTTCAAGTAGCAGTATTCAGTTTGAATGTGTATCATATAGTTGAAACACAATTTATACAAAAGATAATAAATAGTTAAACTATTATACAAAAGTTTCATATGTAAAATGAATTCAATGTTAACAAACTTTATTGCTGGATTATTTGTTTTACAGTATTCTATTTGATGAAAGCTTCAAAACTTGCGTGTGAGTTTGATATTTCCTTTACAAAAATTGTATGTAAACAGTTACGGTGGAAAGTTGACCTCTTTTTGTTAGGTCAGTTTAATTCCATAGTTTAAAAGAAGTTTCTGTATTTATGTAAAAATATGTTCTAGGCCAGGTTTTGAAGATGCTATTTATTCTCCCCCTTGACATTAGGTCAAACTTACAATGTAGTTATTGT